GACAAGATCCGCGTGCCTCAACAGGCTGTGAGTGTGTGAGTGAGTGACCATAAGCCAAACCTGGGAGCAGCGTGTGGAACACTGGCACTATCTGTCAATCTGGCATAGGGGCTCCATATACCCTTGACTTGGCACAGGTATTTGCATAGTCCAGATCTCTTCACCTTCATCTCCAACCATTCAGCAATATGGGAGGAAGAATAACTGACTTTACATGGACAGTTTCTTCTATCTTTCTTAATGTGAGAGAAATCTTGACTCAAGAATTCATATTCTCAGAAAAAGGTGACACTACAGTATTTTCTGACCTCTAAACACTTCAAGCCTCAGAGGGATCCCTCCAAGACCAAAGAGTTAGTTGTGATGCTAAGAGTAAAATGCTTAATTTCCATCAGTTTAATTCAAACAGAATCTCATAATAGTATATCCCCTTTAGGTCACAGATCTTTTAGTGATAGTGAGATATCTGCAGCCAATTAGAAGAAGTTCTATCATAGCAATTATGGTGCCATCTCTACAACCTAGCAGTAAATAAACTGCAATTCCAAGCCATAAAGAAAAAAGTAAAACATTAATATATATGATGTCAAATTAATTTAGTTCATCTCATGTTTTGTTGAGGCTCTTGCATTTTAGCATTAAAAAACATAAAAACTGAAGAAGAATGTACATGCAGAGTATGGAAAATTAATGGTGGTGGTGAGAAAAAAAAAACTACATTACAGGATATGAAACAGTGGAGAAACAAAGCAGCTGATGGAGATAAAAGCCTCGTTTTCAACCAAAATCCCACTGATTAGCTGTCTGGGAAAGGAGAGTGAATTGAGTTTCCTGCAGCCTCTCCTAAACTTTCCAGGACAAGATTAATAGGGATGGGAATTGTGGCAAGATCTCAGGGACCTCTTTCTACCCAGATGCATCAATAAAGCTTTGAAAGTTCACACATGAAAAAATGGTGCTACAGCTGCTTTGAAAAACCATGGGTGGGAGAACCATCAGTGCAGAATCATCCTATCTGCATTTATTACTCCAAACTGAGTGTTGGTCATTTCTCTGTTTCAGCTGTCATTAATTAACCCTGGGCTTCCACTTCAAGCCCTGTCTCATAAGCTTTGCTTCATAAAATACAAATTACCAGTTGTTTTGATGCTCAAAGTACTTGACAGTATTTTTTTCCCTCTACC